TCAAGTATAAAACTTTTACACTTAGAAATCCATTTACAAATAAATAAAAATAAACATATTTACAGTTTTAACATTCATACAACTTTGTTGAACAAAATGAAATGTTTTCATTTCCAAGAGTAATCTCCCTTTGTTCAGTTTGCCTTTTGCAAATGGCATTTACAAGTTAAAGGGCAGAAACTCATGAATGAATTACATTTACATGTGAATGACTAAAATAGAAATTAACAAAAAATGATAAAATATGATGAATGAAATAATTGCGTGATTTAATGAAAATTAAATGATCAATAAACTATACACCTTATCAAAAATGGTATAAAAATAAATATACACTTGCTCATATAAATTTACAAAGACAGACATTTAAACAAGTAAAAACTGCCTATTTAAAGCAAAATAGTCCATAACCATACTGGTTGCTAAAAATATTCTAACAGCTAAAAATGTACAGAACTTTGTGACAACTATTTTTTTCTGACAAGAGGGACAGTACCTATATCTATATACAGGTTAAAATCTTTAATTTTGCCTATTTATAAATGAGAAAAAAATTGTGACAGAGACGTAATTTTCCAAATACCATGGTAACACAAATAAAGCTACCAGTACTGTTTTGAAATCGATATTACGCACTCTCAGGCAGGGGGTTAAGGGGGCCGCTTTAGGCCCCCTTGCAGGTCCAGGGCAGAGCCCTGGTAGGGGTCCAGGGGGCGAAGCCCCCGGAAGCTCACTGATTTTCACCATGTAGAGATGTAAAAATTATGCATTTCCATGCCTATTTGAGGTCCATGAAGTCAGATTGAATTTAATATTTTCATTAATTTAACTTTTTATGTAATGATATGACTTGTGTTAATATGTGACGTGATTTAGTGAACGTCTTAGATATAATTGATAGATCGTATAATAATATTTCAAGACATTTGATAAACGTTATATAAGGTTATACATTGTATAAACAGACGCAAACAAATGACGTGTACGCTTTTACTAGCCAGCAAATAAAAGTGACAAAAAAGTGACAAACACAAATTTATCTACAACAACGTCAGCCTAGATCACCCTGTCTCTATGGATCTGCAAAAGTCCTAAGCCAGAGAGGTGACCAGTGCTCATCGTTGAGCGCTAGAAAGTCTTTAGCCTTTTCAAGCTGATAAAGGAACGTTCAGCACTGGCATTGCTTGAAGGAAAATGCAGATACTTGTTTCCATTGGGAAGAAGCTCTGTCGGTATACATGTATCTTACAGCACAGATTCTATAGTGGATGGAGCCTGCAACAGTGATATTTCGCACCGTGTTATAGATTTACAGAAAATAATGTGTTCTCATCGTTTTTAGATTTTTTTTTCTCAATTGAAATATCGTTACAAACTAAAATCTAAAAATCTTATTACTTTCTACGTAGCGATAATTATTATCTTAAATAACTTTTGTCTGCTCAATGTTCGCGTAGCAGTCGGACTTTTGGTATCATCTCTTCGTTCATGGCTGTCATTTACTTATACGGCACACAGCAAGAAAACTGATTTCTTTTTGAGCTAATATGCTATATATCACACTGATAAGTGTGCTTCGCATTTGTGAAAATATTGCAAATTTCTCAGTAGGATATCTAGCATACTCATTTATATATGTTTACAGTAAATGTTCGTTATTTTTTTTTCTAATTTATAAGAGAGGTGACATACATAATGCCATTACAATAAATCGCATAAAAATTATTTTATTATCACAGATTCAATGATATATACATGTATAGTCCTAGATCTCACATGAGTTGTCATTGATGTAAAAATATCATATAAAACGATTAAAGAAAAAGTTACAAACCTTTGACGAGAGTTTAAGAATTTTTTAAGTAATGCCAACTAATGTCAGTTTCTTTTTTATTACACAACAAATCGCATTCAGATTTGTATAAATAAATACAGTTAAATAAAAGTTATATCGCCAGCACAATTTTGTTTTTCAAAGTGTTCAATGCAATTTAATAATGATCACACACGAATGCATCTTTCAGATATATACGTGTGGGATTATATAATTGCCAATAAGTAACTGATAAAAGTAAAAAAATGCCTTTGAGACATAAAAATAAAAGAATTCTGAGGCATACTGGGCCCTTGAGGTTATACCTTAGGAGGGTCACTGAAAAAAAACAACAACAACAAACACAAGGAAAACGTTTTTACTATTATATAGGTACATATTTTTCTTCTTGTGCATTTTTGGCGATTAATACAGTTAAAGGGATTTAGTATTTTGTATGGAAGTCAAAATACTACTTTGTTTACATTTTGCTACTTTTATGACAAATAATTTCACATTAAGCGCTACTTTCTTCATGTTAAAAGCATTTAACAAGCTCTGAAACCATTATTTAATGTTTTAAAGCAGCACACCTCCAGATTCATGCTAATTTCCATGAAAATTTGAAAATGTATTTAACGGTTTAATATTGTAAAGTTACCAAAATAATGCAATTTAGACATTATCAATGCAACTTACAACCTATGTAAATTACTATGAAGAGGTCAAAATATGCAAAAATAGCCATTACTGCGTCCGTAACGCAATAAAATTTAGTTATACATACTGAAAAATTCGGTCATTAATAGCACATAACATGTAAAGTTTTACTAGAAATTTGAATCTTTACTGTATACCTTTCCTAAAATTTTAGTACACTTTTCTCAGGTTTGATTTTATCGAAATAGTTTGCTCATTTGGAGGCGTGCAGCTTTAAAAGTTGATCTCGATCATGTTTCTCCTTTTTAAAGAGGTAAAAATACATTCATTTCTGAGGCATAATTTCCCGTTTTCTCGACAGAATAAAACGTAGTTATAACAAGCGACGTCGTGTGATTTATCTTTCTTGCACCCCCAATGCAAACGTTTAAGCGAACACATTAAATTAATGAACAATGAAACTCTATAAAGTTTATCTGTTCCTGAGGACATTAGCTATTTGCTCGATGGGCGCTGCATCATTGGCCTCGTCGGCGATACAGCCAAAGAATGGAGCGGCGTTGCAGGTCTCCACAATTGTTTTGCTGTTTATTTCGCCACATACAGTAACTCGCTCTGTATGTCGGGCGAAGTGTATTTCGAGCGAGCATTATCGCCGTTAAAACCGTATTATGGGTTTATATCGTTCTTTAGGTATTAATACTCTTTACATTATATTATTATTGGAACTTATTAGATCTACCTAAATACTTCAAAGATCTATATTTATATTAGAATCAATGATATTATTAGAGCTAGATCTATATAAATGTTGGAACCATGCCTCAAAACACTCCAACACCACCCACGCCTATACCCTATAGATTTCTCACCGTTTTTAGTATATTTGAGTTTTCGTTTTCCTGGATCAATGTTACGCACGTGCGTAGGTGCGTATAGCTAGCTACGCCCCTGTACAATATATACACTTTTTGAAACTGTATTTTGTTATGTCTTATTGATAATCTTTTTCCAATTACACATTTCCTTGTCTGAATGATCAACGGAATTGTCATGATCAGATGTTGCTTGATCTGAATGAGCGTCACTGCAAATACTACAAGTGAACTGTACGACGCTTGAACGTTTGCGTGCCTTGAAATAATCGATTTTACTCATACCTGCAAAATACAAATTGTTCATCTTATAACAAAATTAAAAGAATAAAGTTATGTTTTATTGATAATACATGTATATACATTCTAATGACCGATAATCGGATTAGTATATACTAGTATTTCAGTACCAATTGAAATCTTGCCTGGTCCAGATAAGATAATGGTAAAACCCAACCGGCAGGCTTTCTTACATTGTGAAGTATATGGTAACCCAAAACCAGCCGTAGCTGGCAGAAGTCATCTCAGTCTGATATCAGAACCGGTGGCCGGTACGAAACCTTCAGTAACGGTACCCTGCTCATTCGCCAGGCCTCGGAAGCAGATATAGATAGTTATACTTGCACTGCTGATAATGGTGTATCCACACCTGTACGGAAAACAATCAAACTTAAACTCAGAGGTATTACATGCAGTTCTTTACCGTAAATAACCTGACATCTAGTTTGCTCACTGGCTGGAACATTATAATGTTCTCTGGCACTCAGATTCAGATCAGAAGTGCTAATACTGGGGAAGGCACATGCTTTTTGAAAGACTATTTAGTTTACAATTAAATATGTTAAGCTATTTGGTCCCTCACCTATATTTAATCTTATTTATGTACAGTATTTGTGCTATAGATAGAAGTTATGTGAACTAATTTTGTAAATGTTAACAATTTACTAGTGAATGAGAACTTTTGGGGATTTTCCAAGCTAATCTTGGTGTACAAACAAACTTTTACAGTTACAGTTTCGAAAAATTAACGTAACAGGTTGACTAATCTTTTGTGAATGGTAGTGCACTGTAAAGCTATAATGGTAAAAGTTTGTTTGTACCGGGCTTAGAAAAAAACACATTTGCTGAGTTCCGGATAACATTTATTACAATGTATAAAAGGAGGTTACCTTCAGCAGAATGTTTGTCACCTGAACCCTCTTCAAATAGTTGATTAAAACATGTATATCATTTTATATGTGAAATAAGAAATGGCATGAACTTGAATTTGTTAAGAGAATTTCCCTCAAACTTTTAGGAAAATTAGTCAGAATATTCATGCTGGTAGTCACCGTAATCAGTTTGGGTTTGGTTAAACATTTTAATAAATGTCCAGTTTGGATTACTTCTCATAGAAGAGCTGAGTGTATAAAAAAATTAAATTAACATTCAAACTAGACTAAAATGGACTATAGTTATACTTTGTTAATTTTATTAACAATCAGCAATCAAACAGTCTGTTTTATATCAAATATGCTTTATATTATATTTTTCCTTCAAAAACTTTCACATTTTAAAAGCTAAATTGGAAAACTTCAACTTTTGTTCTTCTCTGCAACTTTCCAATTATGTGTCTGTTTTCTCCAAAACAATTGATCTTTTAATCTTTATAGAAATGTTGGTGGCTAGAATTGATAATGACAATGGGCGTGTAATGGAAGGTGGACGTATAAAACTTACATGTGAGGGGCGTGGCTACCCAACTCCCACAGTTACATGGGAGAAGATGGGACGTCCCCTTCAGACAGGTGGTAATGTGTTCATAAGTAGTGATGGCCAGTTAACAATCAGGGATGTGTCAACTAGAGATACAGGGTCATACTCATGCATTGTCGCAAATTCAGAGGAAAAGATTGAAACCTCTACATCTGTACAAGTTGTACCTAAAGGTTTGTAGAAAACACATCAACAGTTCTAGATCAATCTTGTTCAGGAAAAATGCTACTCATTGCTGAATAATTTAGGTTGTTGATTATTTTAAATGAAAATGCCTATACGCTCAATTTGTTTAAGAAGTGTACCAGTTCATTTAAAGATAAATAAATAAGACAGAAGTTTAATTATGTTTGTATATTCAGTAGTGCTTTTTTCGCAGTGGTTCTTCCAAAATTGATTACAGTAAGATCTACTTTAAATATATTTTGACTTTGTATTTGAGATTTTCTACTTGTTGATTAATCTCTAATCTCTTTTTAGTAATGCCAGATGATAAGTGTGAAGATAAGACCTCACAGATGAAATGTCGCCTGATTGTCACGGCACGTCTGTGTGGTTATACCATGTATCCTAAAGTGTGCTGCGCTAGTTGCAGACGACACTTTAATGGAGAATTACTCTTCAAAGACTTATGATTACCTAATTTTTGGTTTATTTTTACACAAACAAAGATAAATTATGTAATACTCCTATAAGCTGTATACCAAACTATTATTTATGATCAGTTAGATGTATAGTACTACTTTAGCGTTTTATTGTTACCATGTTTATAGAACATGTCCGTATTATAAAACGTTCATTACATAAAAAAAAATGAGGCATTCTTGTTTTGTCATAAAGGTTGTTTTGTAGAAAATAAAGGGAAGTAAATGTGCAGCAGACAGAAAAAATGTGCTTATTACAGAAATAAAAGCAACAAATAAAAAGTTTAGTGACTATGGACAAATAAAAACATCAACATTTGTTGTTTTTTTTTTGTCTTAAGTGGAATTTAAACAATTTTCAACAGTGTTTGTGCTGTTTTATTTTTTCACAGAATGTATATTTACGAACAAATCACAATTTAGTGTCAACCCAAAAATTAGTGGATATCTTGTACAGAAACTATTTTAACGTAGCTTTTTATTTTTTTCATTTGTTTCATTATTGACCATTTTTGAGACTTCACTTTGTTGTGTTTGAATAAAATTAAGAATTTTATTTTGTTTTCAAAGGTGCTAAATACTGATCTCTTAGAAAAAAGGAAATAACAAACTTTTATCTTTAGGAATTTCTTGAATGTTTGTAAAACTCATGACTTAATCTGAAACCCAAAATTGATTAGAGATTAACTAATGACCTCTTAGCACTTACAAATAGAAACACAGGGAGTTAAAATGATAATCATCTCTGCGGAAATATTTTAGTCAGTATGCATTACATTCATTTTCACAACAATTCATGTTTTTTTATTGTGTTTTTTCCAAGTTTATATGGATTAGTGGCAAAAAGCATGTCTTCAAATCCATGTTGGATGCAGACAAGTTACTTTTTTCCTTTAATCCTTTAAATTATATATTTCATTACATTTAGTAGGTATTTTCTTTTAATTTTTATTTTCCTCTAAAATAGTCATAATGTTTAATTTTTCTATGCATTTATTATTGTGTAATATTGTCATGTATATAATAATATATAGATTAGATGTTTTATACTGTTTAAAAGTCGATGTGAACTCTGATATTGTACTGAATGTGTTGTCCATGTGCCCATTTTTGTACTTTTATGTATATTTTAATACAGCGCTTTTTTATGACTTTTTTTAATATTGAGGGCTAATTGAGCTCCACAGAGTGATGAAAACATTTTATTAACATTTGTTCAATATTACAAGGAACAAATTGACCAAAATATAATGTCAAAAAATAATATAAAGCTGTAACCAAAATGGTAATTAAAGCTTTAATGTATGCTGGAATTGTATATCCATACAACTTTTATCTAGAAAAATGTTTAAACGGACTTTTATGTCAAAAATAATACCTCTGTATAAAGTTCATTGCACTTCTTTTAACACAACAAAGTTTGCCTTTATAAGGAAGTCACTTTTCTTTGAGATTATTTTGCAAAGGGCTCGAGCCATCAAAGGGAAGTAAGCAGTTATATATGTTAACTATGTAACTATTGATAACCTAAATATTCAGGTTTGGGGAAATCCCTCAGAATAGCAATTTATTCAATGACATAATGACTCAGGGATTTTGTTAAATGTGGGAATTTGTCTTAGTGGCCCACTGTAACAAAATTGTTAAAAGTCAATAAAAATGGGGGGCTTTAGAATATTTTTAATTGTAGTGAAAAGACATTAAAATATCATGTATTGAAATTCTTAAAAAGCGATCATTTTCTTTTTGCTACAAATGCAGTCAGTGATTATATCTAACTGACAGTGTGGCAAGTTAGAGAGACAGTGAAGTCGCTATTTCTGATATGGGCTTTTTGTATAAAGTTAATTTTGTACACAAATATTCCAATCTGCTTTCATATTTAAATTCTTTTTACTGTTTATATTTTAGCTTATGCTAATGCCTTTAATTTGCTTTTTAATGGGGTGTGAAAAGGGTTCCCCAAACCCCCCCCAAACCTTATAACAGGACGTCTGCATGCTTACATGTATACTTGTACCACAGCAGTACATGTTGTGTTAACATACATATGTGTAAGCTCACTGTTACATGCTACTTAAGTGTGTTTCACTAACCAAATGAGCTTTACACATGTGAGTACACGGCACTTAAAAGAACATGTATCTTTTTTGTTGCTTTTTATTACTTATCTTGTTACTTTTTTCTAACACTCATTCGCTCCATTATTTGTGATATGCTGGGGTAGGTACATACACTGTTTGTCTGTCTGTCTGTCTTTATACGTTGTTACACAGCTTTTAATGTTCTTTGTTAACATTGTGTTTTTCAAATTGCAGCTGACTACTACATGTTTATGATTTTGCAGTTTTAAAGTTACTGTGGATGTAGAAGTCACAAATTTGAATGAAATTTTGCAGCAGATATTGACATATACATTTTATACCATAACACATTTTATAGCATAACCTGATAGAGTTTGACATGTCAAAATGAAACGGCAGAAACAATTAATTACCAAATGGATTCTATTGTAATTATGTGAAACCTTACAGAAATAAATAAAAACAATAATGACAGTAAACAGTGTATGTTCTTGCAATAGGCTAACTAAAACATTCCAAATGAGGTAAAAGTGTTTTTCATTTTGACATAACTTGTGAAAGCAAACCTTAATCTTGCAAGCATATATTTCTTTATTGTTTTGTCAGAATGTTGTTGCATGCATGGACAAGCTGGTATGAATGCCTATTAAATGTTATGAAATCCATGTAAATTGTTCCTCATTTCTGCTTCATGAACAAAATTTCTTCAAATTTTGACATCAAGATTTATTGTCTGCATAATGCTGCCTTTCTTTTACATACATGACTGCTTAAGTTAATATATATTATTTCTGTGTTTTAGGCTTGAACAGCAAAATATAAGTTTTAAGCAACGTCAAATGTCAATGATAACTCTAGATTTTCTTTCCTCTATAATGAAAATCATAAAGGAAAAAAACCTACTTCAATTGGCACCTATGATAATAAAGCCATTTTTTAGTCCAGCCTTTTTATGCCCCGCCATATAATGGCAGGGGCATATAGTGTTACCCTGTTCCGTCATTCCGTCATACCGTCCTTCCGTCATCATTAGTTTCCGTTCATTATCTTAATAACCGTTGCACATATTGAACTCAAATTTGACATATAGATATGTCATGAGAAAATACAGGTTAAGTTCGAAATATGTCATGGTTCGATGATTTTTTACAGAGTTATGCCCCTTTTACTTTGAAAATGATATGAAATTTTCAGTTTCCGTTCATTATCTCCCCAACGGTACAACACATTTAACTCAAACTTGACATATGGATATGTCATGAGAAAATACAGGTCAAGTTCAAATTTGGTCATGGTTCGATGATTTTCAGCAGAGTTATGCCCCTTTTACTTTGAAAATAATATGAAATTTTCAGTTTCCGTTCATTAACTCCCCAATGGTACAACTCATTCAACTCAAACTTAAGATATAGATACGTCAAAGAAATGCGCAGGTCAAGTTCAAATTTGGTCATGGTTCGATGATTTTTGGCAGGGTTATGCCCCTTTCACTTTGAAAATAATAAATGAAATTTTCAGTTTTCGTGCATTATCTCCCCAATGGTACAACATATTCAACTCGAAATTGACATATGGATATGTCATGAGAAAATACAGGTCAAGGTTGAATTTTGTCATGGTTCGATGACTTTTGGCAGAGTTATGCCCCTTTTACTTTGAAAATAATATGAATTTTTCAGTTTCCGTTTATTATCTCCCCAACAGTATTACACATTCAACTCAAATTTGACATATGGATACGTCAAAGGAATGCGCAGGTCAAGTTCAAATTTGGTCATGGTTCGCTGATTTTTGGCAGAGTTGTGCCCCTTTCACTTTAAAAATAATATGAAATTTTCAGTTTCCGTTTATTATCTCCCCAACAGTATTACACATTCAACTCAAATTAGACTTATGGATATGTTTTTGGAATGCGCAGGCCTGGTTCGATATGTTTTTGGAATGCGCAGGCCTAGTTCGAATTTGGTCATGCTTCAATGATTTTTGGCAGAGTAATGCCCCTTTCACTTTGAAAATGATATGAAATTTACAGTTTCTGTTCATTATCAACCCAACAGTGTTACATATTCAACTCGAAATTGACATATGGATAAGTCAAAGGAATGCGCAGGTCAAGTTGGAATTTGGTCATGGTTCGGTGATTTTTTGGCAGAGTTATGTCCCTTTCACTTTGAAAATAATATAGATACATCTTAGGAATAAGCAGTTTAAGTTTGAATTTGGTCGTGGTTCAATGATTTTGGACAAACTTATCTTTCCTGAATGTTGGAAAAAATTTTGAACTTTCAGTTTCAGCACTCATACTTTTGTGGAAATGTATATAGCCATTATTTTGGCTACAAAAATGCAATATGCTATTTTCAAAAGGTTAAGACTGAATAATTTCAGTGCCTTGAACATTGTATAAAAATGGTTTGTGTTAACATTGAAAAGTTTTAAGGGCTTTGAGTTTAGAATGAAAAAAATAATTTGTGCAAACAAATTTGGAACTAAATATTATAACATTTGAAATTTTGGCTGCATGCGGAGGCATCCGTGGCATGATGACACATTTCTAGTTCAGCATTTAATTTGCTTTCAAAATATTGTATTCATGACATAGTGATCTGAAAGAAAACTTTACGTTGTACATGTACTTGGAAATTACATACTAGTTACATGGTTAATGGTGTTCTATTTCCAATACAAAAATTGTATGTGAAATATTGTGTTTCCGTGTTAAAGTTAGCTTATTGCAGTGAGGCAGAAATGTTAATATAGCACAATAAGGCCAGTCATCTATGTGTATATTATTGTATGTACCATCTCCCCCTTTTGTGTAATAAACAAGTCCTACACTCTGTTATCTTCATCTGTTTTTCCTTTTATATCCTGAATACCTGAAATAACAAAGAATAGTTCTATGAC